ATATATAAGCAAACTCCAAGACATACATTTTTCATGAACAAATTTTACTGACACCAATATATTTTATACTCATGATGACAAATGAAGAACTTCGTCTGTCGAAACATCTAGCATAATATCCTGCAAACTACAGTCAACAAACTGAATACCAGTTATAACACAGTTATCCCGACCGTGAAAGTTAACTTTTTGGGTTTGAATCATTTTAAAAGATGTGAGAGTCGGAGATTTGAAAAGGTTGGATCTGAGCTCTCTCAGCTCATTGGGTTATTTATTATGGTTATTGGTGAGTTCAGAATATAATTGACCTCGACAGTAATGACACTTTATATTAAGGCATCGCTGATGATACGAGTTTTCTATAAGCATTGACTTTTATTCAAATAAAACTTTATTGTGTAAACTATTCAGTGAAACTATCCATGATAATAATTACACAATTTTCATAAACATTTCAATTTCTAGACACGTTTTGCCGTAGCTTCTTCGGTACAAAGTTACCACCGTAGCTTCCATCACATATCAACTTTAATGTGAATTTGATAGTTATGAAAGTAATTTCAAAAGCGATACATTGGATGAACATGGCTGAAAGGAGAGGACTTCACGACTGCTGAATATTTAAAAAGATTCTAATCCACAAAAGTCCTCCCTATTTATACCATAAAATAAGATTCAGAACGGACGAGTATAATCTAAATATCCGATACAGATCAACGCTCACTCCACCAAGCCATATAATAGTATTGTAAATCAACATGTTTTTTCCATGCTTGTGAAAATAAAGTTAAAGTTTGTTTAAATAAAGGATAATAAACTTATACTTCTCCATATACGTAAACTAAATCACATTATTAAAATACAGCATTAAAAATAATGATTGTAATCATATTGACATTCAATTCACATCATTGGTTTGATACTTCAATCCATTCCTTGATTCTACACTCCTTCTTGAACTGCATCTACTCTTTGATGAAGATCTACTTCTTGATTTTCCTAACGTATCATCTTTGGAACATCTTGAATTGGATATGAATCTTTTTCTGGAGTAACTTTCTGGAGATTTGGGAACAGAGAGATTCGTTCTGGACCTAGATGAACTCCTACGTCGTTTTTGTCGTTTCATGCTTTTTGCTATAACTCGCTTCTGATGATCCAGTTGGGGAAAAAGATCTAAAAGTTAAAAAAAATAATAGTAATATTGACACTTTCATCTCGAAAGTTATCATTTTTTTGAAGAAAATTTACTTTGGTTCTTGAGGGAAAAGTAAGAGTACTAGCTTTGGTTTTGAATAAAGGACTACACATAAGCTATGTAGTATTAAAACTTTAATTTTTTTGTGAAGTGTTCCAAGTGAAGTGTTAGAGAACTGGGCTATAATTTTGAGTTATTACACGTGACGAATCATGGTTTTTTACCAATGACCCAGAAACTGAGCGCCGATCAATGCACTGGAAGAGTTTAACAGTAACCATGACTGAAAAAAGCTCGAATGTCCAAATCAAAATACAAGACCATGATGATTGGTTTTTGAAAATCCATGGAAACCAATATGTAAATTGAGTACCTGTAAGACAAACACTGAATATAGAATATTATCTTGAGGTTCTAGCCTCTCTTCATAAACAAGAAAGAAGAAATCGATCAGAGTTGTGAAGAATTTGGCCTGACAATAATTAAATACAAATATTAGGTCAGCCTGAACCCGCCTGTTTTCCAATGTGGTTAGATGTAGTGTAGAAAGAATATCAATGTAGTTGTAGTTATGTCGCTGCTCCATTTGAACATCCATTTTATTGGTAGCACTACGCAAAAATTCATTTTGAACCTTTTTCAGTGATGTTTTGTACACTATGTAAGAGGGACGCCACACAATGATTGCATACTCTACATGTTATCTAATTAATGAACAATACAGAATTTTCATTGTGCTAGCCGATAAGTCTTTAGCGATCCTACCTACATATCCAAGAAGTTTGAGTTTGGTTCAAGGGCAAAGAGTTTATGCAGTATTCATATGTGATTGGTGCCTGAGAACGATTGAAACACATGACTAGACATTTGTCAAGATTTAGTTCCAAGCAGTTATTTCTACACCAATTGGTTAAATGGTTCACATCTTCTTGAAGTTTCAAACAATCACACGGTATAGCTTGAGATTATCAGCAAATAACAATTCCTCTGAGTCAGTAATGTGTGCAAATAGATCATCAATAAAGATATTGAAAAGTAATGGTCCACAGTGACTACCCTGGAGAACACCAGAACAAGCTTCAATTGTATGTGATTTGTAATTATTAATTTTCACCCACTGAATTCTACCTGTAAGGAAGCTGCTAATCCAATCCAAAACATTAACCCAAAAACCAAAGGATTTTAATTTTCGAAGCAATACAACATGATTAACTCTATCAAACGCCTTTGAAAATTCTATATAAATTGAGTGAATCTGGTACCGTTTCTTTAAGAGATAAATTGAATAATAAAGAAAGTGGAAAGTTATAGTCACCAAAATTACCCCGCATTATTAAGTATTTTTTCAATACTTCAAATCAAATCAAAAATCTTTATTTCCGTAGACCTAGGGACGGCATGGAAAAAGTCACATAACTCAGTACAATTACAATGAGGTCACAATCATAAAACAACATAATTATATGATATATTACATAACATTCAGACCATAAAAGGGGTACAAAAATTAAAATTTAAAATTCCAAATCAGACTGAAAAAATTCATCAAGCGAATAAAATACCTTTTCACATAATACTTTCCGAACTTTTTGTTTAGAGAGCTTTACACTAGTTATTTTTTAATGGATATTGGGAGCTTGTTGTACAGTTTTTTTGACATGATATGAGGTCCATTAGTCACCTTGGCTAACTTATGACTAGGAATTAAAATGTTATAGTTTTTTCTCAGGGTGAAGCCCGAAAGAAGACATGTATCATCTCTGTTCTAAAACTTGGAGCAATTTGATTTAACGTAGATTACGCAATTAAAAATATACATGCAAGTAACAGTTAATNATAAAAGTAGTTATGATGAACAAAAATGAAGCAATTACCATATTAAGAAATATAAAAAATAATAGAAACAATATTCCACAGGGCATTAGAATATCCGCTTCTTCCTATTCTCCATCATCAATTTTCAGAAAGTGTATATTTCATACCATATCATTACTGTCCTATTTGTATCCCAATTTTTGATTTTTTGGCCGTTTCTTGTAGCTTCAGCAACACATTTGTGCAACTTCATCTGAAATATCCACTTATTAGCTTATTCTGGAAGTAACTATATTTTACATTCATATCTATCAGTCTATAGTTCCAATTCACCTCGACTATTTCTCGGTGGATTGAATGAAAGTGAATGTTCTAACTTGGCTTTTATTTGTTTATTTTCACGTTCATCAGCTTATTATACCGGGTGTCCCACATTTTATGTGACAGGCAATATCTGGTTTGTTGAAGGAGATACACAAAAATGTTTCATACAAAAGTTTTAGGAGTTCATGAGAGCTATATTTTGATATAATTTTTAAATATACAGGGTGTTTGGTGTAGGTGCTACAGACCAAAATTCCATTTTTTAAAATAGAACGCCCTGTATATCATTACATATTCAGATGCTACGTTAA